GAAGAATGAAATGATGACTTAAATGACCTTTAATGTATCTGAGAGCTCCAAGTCTATATGAAAACAATCATATTCTGAATCAAAATTTATGTATCTTACTGGAAAATGTTACACTTAAAAAAAATCCTTATAAGCAAACTAAAAAGACAAATGACCAACTGGGAAAAAAATATGTGTAAACCTTAATCTCAGAAAAGAGGTTCATATTTCTAAGATATAGAACACTCAGGAAAAGCAGGCTAGAAATATGGTCCAATCTCTATGAAAAGATGCTCTACCACGTGCTTAGCAAGAAGAGTATGTGTACCATGCATGCTTTCTTTAGCCTTTTCCCTGTGGATGGTCATCAGAATTACAACTAGACTAAGATCCCAATTTTTAACTCAAAAATGGGCAAAAATCTAACAACATATCCTACTGGGGAGGCTGTGGTGAACAGGTGCTATCACACTGGTGGAAATGCAAAATAATACACTGCCTATGGAGGACAACTGAATGATATATAACAAAATTACATATACATTTATCTTTAACCCATGAATCCCAGTTGTAAGAATCTTTCCCAAAGACATTCAGACAAAAAATATATATATACACACAAAATTATTCATTTTAGTAATATTTGTATTAGCAAAAGAGAGGAAACAACACAGATGACCATCAACAGGGAAAAGGCTGAAAAAAACATGGTACACTCATACAACGGAGTACTATGCAGCTGTAAAAAGGAATGTGGAACATCTGTACATAATGATCTCCAAGATAAAGTTACATAAAGAGAAGCAAAACTCTACATGTATAACCTGACATTTACCTGAGAAATTGAGAGGGGATATGGATGAATTATATTTTAAATAGATATTTATTTTTTAAATAATATGATAAGCCTTAATTTTTTTTAAAAAAATGTTACTTATAGAAGGAGGTGAAATACAGGGTGAATAGGGCAGTAACAGGAGCCAGACGCCTCTGCATGCTCCCTGTTTGATAAATCTGACTTGGGAAATATGCAACGTAGGCTGCAGCTGGCTTGTACTGTTCCCTGGCCAACGTTCAGGTGTTTTGAGAGCCAGTTACCCTGACCTTGGTAGCTTGAAATTGGCTATGGTGGGAGTGCACAGGCATGCACTGTAACTATTCTCTCTACCTCTATATAAGACAAAATTTCTATAATAAAAGTTAGAAACCGTATGAACAAAAACAACAGAATTATGTAGCTAATTCTAACAAGCGGGTCCTAGAACACTGACATAAGACTAAGACATGAGAAATTAGAAATCCATGATGATCACCTAGGGAGCTTTGCAAAATATAGTCTCTGAACCACCACTGTCTTAATAAACCGCAAAGACTGAGAGAATTCTGTCATATTCCTCAGGACTGTGCAAGTGGTGAAAAGATTGAGAACCACTGTTTAAACACTCTTAAGGGCTGTTCACTATTCATCTAGTTTTTATCTCCATACCTGACACTAAGTGGTACTCAAGTAGTATTTGGTCAATTAATGAATCACCCTGGGAAATAAATAGGCAATCTTAATGGAGCTAAATGATTGATGGGCAAAAAACATTATATTTGATAATCACCTGGCCGGATGAGTCAGTTGGTTGAAGCTCTGTCACATACATCAAAAGGTTGCAGGCTCTGTCCCTGATAGGGGCATGTATGGGAGGCAAGTGATCAAATTTTTTTTCTCTCTCTCGATTCCTCTCTTTCTAAAAATCAAAAAACATATCCTCGCCGAAACCGGTTTGGCTCAGTGGATAGAGCATCGGCCTGCGGACTGGAAGGTCTCAGGTTCGATTCCGGTCAAGGGCATGTACCTGGGTTGCGGGCACA